TGTATGTATATAAAGCCCGTGCCATTGCTATGCTTGTCTTTGCTTAAAACTCTTTGCCACAGAGTATGTATTGCACATTTGTTCTTGTTCTGCTTGAATAGAAGTGTAAGCACCAGAGTGGCGCTCTCAATGTGTTTATAATTTTCAACCAGTTAACAATATTTTGGCTATAAGTCAGCGATAATAATTTTTTGAATTTTTCACGGAAATTCCTTAAACGGATTTTAAGTTCTCAAAGCTAGCAAGTCAAAAGCTAGCTCATGCCTTGGTACACAAAATTTCAAACTAATTCTTTTAAAATGTTTTTTTTTCAACTTGTCGATTCTTTTTCACTAGCTTTGAAATGAATTTTTTCATTCATGCATATATTTTATTAAAAATATTAATAACTTATCAATTAACGAATACTGCACATCAACTAAGTAACTATTCAGCAGCAACTAAGCACAAGTACATAAGTCAATAGTATACATAATTGAAAAAATGTAAGTAAGTTTTTGTTTTGCCATGTGTAAGCAAATTTAAACACTTAATGAATTAAGTTTTTTTTTTTACATAATTTTTGTCTTTTCTTACACTCAGTTCTCTAATTGTTTCGAGTGTTGACGTTTGCGTCTGATTAAGTTTACACAAATATTGAAAATTGTGTTTGTTAAGTAATTAAATTATATAATTGAAACGATAAATTAATTATACTAAATACACGAGTATAGTTAAAACTATTGCTTAAGAATAATAAATATATTTATGTAAACATGCAAAAATGATATGAACGATTTTCGAAGAATAGGAAATTAGTGAATTTGTATGCAAGTTTGTTTGTAAAAGTTGATGAGGTCCTCCTCTTTTATCTGCTGTAGCGCCTCAACTGTTTACTTGAGTGTGTATTTATGGTTGTGGGTGTGTTCTAATTGGGCGTGGTCTTTGTAATGAGCTTGTGGCAGACGGGGCGTGAACAGATAGCTTTGCATTGAGCTGAATATCTTCGGTTACTATCGATTACAGTTTTTGTGAAGCTTTCATATGCACTCGAAAGTGCGAAGACTATATAATATTTCTTTAGTTTGCTCTTAGTTCTTCATATTATTATGCGACGACTCATTTCAACTTCTCTCTCAAGCTTTCACCATAGAAATAGTTCTGAAAACTTTCGGATACAGTTGTAGGTATTTCATTGGAAAAACAAGTAAGAAAGTCTAAGTTCGGGCGGGGCCGAACATTAGATACCCGGCGCAAGTATTAAGTATATGTTTTTCACCTTTCCGGAAGCTACCGCTACATGGTAAGCCGGGGTGTATCAATTTTTAGTAAATTAGCGTCCTTAAATTTCGAAATATTGACGTTTCAAGCATTTATAAAATTTACCGTTATATGAAAAGCCGTAATTTTAGTCTGATTTCAATAATTTTGAACGTTTTGCTTTCATGTGGCAAGCACACTAACCATACCGAGTTTGGTACAAATTGGTAGAACGGTTACCGAGATACATATATGTGATCATAGTTGGCGGTGCCACGCCCATTTTCCAAAATTTTATGATAAGCGTATTTCCTGGTAAGGAATTGTTGCAAGCATCAATTTTGAATAAATTAGCTTTGATATTTACTGATTTATCGAAGATTTCGTATTTCTCCAAATTACCGTTATATGGGATGTGGGCGTGGTTATTGTCCGATTTTTAAAATTTTCGGCCATTTGGTATCCTGTACCAAGGCCAATAACTGTGCCAAGTTTGGAAGAAATCGGTGCAGCGGTTGCCAAGATATACACATGTAACACTAAGTGGGCGTGGCTACGCCCATTTTTCAAAAATTTATAATATTCTTATTTTTCGTCTAAAAGTTATTGCAAATATCAATTTTGAGTGAATAATCTTCAGTAGTTACTAAAATATCGCAGTTTTCGTATTTCTGAAAATTACCGTTATATGGGAGGTAGGCGTGGTTATTGTCCGATTTCGCCCATTTTCAATACCATCCGTCCTACGCCCGAAAGAAGCACACGTACCAAGTTTCGTTAAGATATCTTAATTTTTACTCGAGTTATCGTGTGCACAGACGGACAGACGGACGGACGGACGGACGGACGGACGGACGGACGGACGGACAGACAGTCACCGCTTAATCGATTTCTCTTTTCATCCTGATCATTTATGTATACATTTGTCTATATCTATCTCGATTCGTTTTGCCTGTTACAAACAACCGTTATGTGAACAAAGTTATAATACCCTTGTGCACAAGTGCGCTCGGGTATAATAAAGCTAGGCGCTCTCTGAGTATAGTAAAGGATTTGTCAGTGACCCTTTTCTTCAAAAAAGCTTCAAAAGACTCTAAGTTTGCGTATTGCTGATAGAGCGGCCAATGAAATCCAAAGAAAGCTTTAAAACATCTTTTAGAGCGAGCTATGTTTTAGAAGTGACTGAATTTGATTAAAATTGGGCGCAAAAAGTGTTTTGCCTGTTCGCGCCTATATATAAAACCTATAGAGTCGTATCTACTTAGAGCTTTTATTTTGAAAATTCTTTCATCAGCTTTCAAAAACCAATTTGAGAAGCAACCATGTACGCGTCCAGAGCTTTTTTAAGCTTTCTAATACATTATATGCATAGAAGAACACTTGTTCTGAAAACATCTAAGCAGTTTCCACAAGCTGGTCTGAAGAGCGTTTGGTTGCAATCAGTGGAGTGTAACTTAAAGCTTCCGCGCGCTTTGCTCATTACTTACTTCATCAGCTTTCGAAAGCTTTTCAGAGCTTACACACAGTTCTCGCAACCTAAAAGCACATCTGTATCTCGGTTCGTTGTCTTATCTGTTTATAACTTATATGTATGTATGTTTGTATGTCTTTATGTATTTACTGTTAGCATATATCCATTTGCTCTCTATCCATCCGTGTACGTGTTTGGAGTATGTATAAGAATAGCAGCAGGCATTTATATAGCTATGTATTTATGTATGTAAACATATTTTATGCGCGTCATTTATTTCTCTCTTTTATTTATTTTTGTCCATTTTATATATATCTATGTATATATACTATAGAATTCTTAACCAGCTAATGCTAACCTCTTATTTATAGCGTTTCTTTTGGGTTATTAATGAAAAGCAGGCGATTGTTGTTTTTGTATTTTTGTTAAGAATAGAGTGAGTGAAAGTTGTTTTTTGTTTTTGTTTTGGTTTTCTCTTATAGGCGTGATAAGTTCTATAATTTTTTGCGTTCTCCATTTTTTTTTTTGCTATTTATTACATCGATTTTACATATTTTCGTTTTCACAAAAAATTTCACTTACCTATTATAAGTTTATTGATTTTTATGTAAAGTACAATTTTTGCTCTCATTTTCTTTTAATTTAATTTGAATGCAGTATGTAGGAGTGAGTGTGAGAGAATTTCAATCTGCTTGGGTAGAGAGGGACTTTAAGACGGAGAGAGAGAGAGAGGAGCTTCCGAGCGAAATTGCATGTAAGCTAAGGAAGATTAAAGCTTGAACGCTTTCGTTACGCGGTGTGCTTTTCTATAAGGTTTTGGCGATGTTTCTTTCTTAGTGCGTTCCTCAGTTGTTTGCCTGTTATTTCATTGTAAATTTATTAAATGTTCAAGCGAGCTTTTTTTTCTTACTAAAGCTCTTGGTATGTTTCAAAATGCTCTTCGAAAGTCAACGTATATTTATAAAAGGAAAATTTATTTATTATAGGAAAGTAATACGAGGTATCCCTTGTACATGCCCATACCAGTTGTATTGAGAGCTCAAAAAAGCTCGGAAAACTAGAAAAAAGCTGCTCACTATAGCTCTAGGAGTTTTTAGAGTGCCTTTAGGATAGTGTGGTTCAGAGAGAGATTATACTCTGTGAGCGTCCATAAAAAATTTACAGAGAGCTTTGACCAATTCCGCCCGCGGGCGCTATTTTGATCATTACTGCTTTAGGAGGCTTTCTATAGTCTCTCATAAGGTAAGTGAAAATAACTTACTAATTTTATAAATTTTACCCCTAATGCTCTTTCTTTTGTATATCCTGCCGCTCCTTCAACAGCTCTTCGCTAGTTTTTCTAGTAGATACGCTTCTCTTTTGTCTCGTTTACTAATTTTTGTACATTTTATTTGATTTGTGAATAAGTTAGGCATTCACTTCTTTGCTTTTTAAAAAGTTGCATAGCGCAAGCTTTTTATTTCCACTTTATTTCTCACGAAGCCCACGTTTTTCTATTTAAAAATACTCTAACTTTGGCATTTTTTCTTTCACCATAGCCTTTTAAAGCTTTTAATTCACTTTTTCTCCTACTCTCTTTTCATTGCAGTTCTCCCTCTATTTTATCTCTACTCTCGTTCAAAAAAGTTTTAAGTTTCAAATAATTTTCGTTGAAGTACCACTTAGTCCCCCTTTGCTTACGCAGTAGCTATTCTCTTGCACTGAAAATGGTTGCCCCTTTGTTAGAAAAAATGTAGAAATCTGCTTATTTTTTTCATTTAGCTTTAATTGTTGCGCAAAATTATTATTTTTTTACTTTGATACTTAAATAAAATCTCGCACACCTTCATTTGCTGTTTCCATTTGCAAACCTTTTCTTTCACATTTTGCTTAAAATTAATTTGCTTCTGCTTGATTTGTTACTTAATTGTAAGTTTTAAATTTTTTTTTTTCTGTTACTCATTACCATTACACATAATTTTTAATTAATACTTTCTAAACAAGAACAACATACGTTTTTTTTTTTATTCAAATGTGGAGTATGAAAGAATTCTGAATTTTTTCCATTGAGTGAGTGAGTGAGTGAGTAAGTGAGTAGAGGGTAAGTGAATGTTTGAGTGAGTGTTTTGGGGGCTTTCATATCTATGCATGTATGTATGTGTATCTGTGTTTTGAGTATAAATTTCGAGCTGTAATCGCTGTTTATTTGAGCTCGATTTTTCACTTTCAAAAATTAATTTTGCGAATTTTTATTTCGTTTTTTTTTTTTTTTTATTTTTTTGTATTTTTTTTTTGTTTTTTTTTTTTTTTTAATTTTGTCTGTTTTTATTTGCGCATTTATCAGTTTTTGTTCTTTTACTTCGTTTATGAGCCCCTTTCTTCGTGTTCGCTTTTGTTTTTGCTTTCACTATTTTACCGCTTTACATTTTCTTCTTCTGCTACCTTGGAACTGCGCTCCGATTTTATTTAAATTTCCTTATTTTCTTAAATTTGCTTAGAATTATTTTCATTTTTCTTTTGGAAAATATGGTTGGTATAATTCACGGGTTGTGTTTTTTTTTTTGTAAATTTAGCATGACTCATTTTTATTTTTATTACATTCTCTCTTATGTATGTAAGTATGTATAAGTGGCATGATAAAGCAGGCTTTTTATAGGGAGTTTGATTTAGTTATGTATTTTACTTTCATGGGGGAGGGCGGGGTCTTACTTCTCCTTTAGTGGGATTTCTGAGTTGCTGAGTGCGTTTACAATATTTGCAAATTTTGTTTTTTTATTTTATAAATTTCTTTTTTATTTTCTTGGTGCTTTTACTCCTTCACCTCGAAATATTTGTATGTTGGATTCTCATAGCCATTGATTTGCATATTCGCCACGATTTTCTCCTCCGGTACAACGGGGTGATGTGTGGTGGCGTTCTGGAAATGTGAGGGAATTAGTAATAGTAAATTGATAAATAAGGAAAGTAATAACGTTGGCAGATATTGCTGTCTAAAGGCTTGTCTTGGTGAAAATTACAAATTTTAATATGCGATGTTGCCAATTTTCACCATTTCCCGATTTACTCAGATAAGGTTAAAAATTGTAGATTTTCCCAGCTGTGGCAGTGATGGCTGACATTTTAATTGAATTGTATGGTCTAATTAACTTTAAAGAATGGTTGGTATATCCAATGAGGTATCCCATGCTGCCACTTTTCACTGATCGAAATAGTTGACTTTTCTATTCATTTATAGGTTTTTATTTTGATTTGATTGTAGTTTTTTTTATTGGTTTGTATTCAAAAGTAAGAAAAAGCTCCGAAAGTATTTTCTGTGTTACCAATGTTCGCGGTGGAAATTTTAAAAATTTTCAATAATGTTGAATCTCAATAGAAAGCAAATGAACTTCACTAAATGCAGCTGAAAAAAGCTAACAACAAAGAACGCTTTGAAAAATGTGGCGCGTTGGCAAGTTTCAGTAGAATATTTTTGAATTTTATGACTAACGTGAAAAAATTAATTCAATTAGGTCCTTGAAAAGTCCTAAAAATATCCGCAGATTGATCAAAACACTATCTATTTCAGTTGAAAAAAGTTAACATGAGTAGCTTTGTTGCCGAATTTCAGTGAAAAACTCGGAGAATCCAATAGAAATTCTAAAATTATTTCTCTAGAAGGGACAGAAAATAAAGTCCCATATTGGCAATTTTCCTTAACTGAAACCTTTAAAATAGTTATTCTTCAAATATATATACATTTTCAAACTATATAAAAATATAGTCTTAAAAAATATTTAGAAGGCTATGTAAGCTGTGACAGGGTTGCCAATATTCACTAAGGGCAATTTATACAATTTTTACAGTGTAATACTTGAATCGCATAATTACTATATATATGTATAAGGAATCTGTGAAGATCTCAGATATATCGGGATACTTGATACATTTTCTTTGTATATGAATCTTCAGTCCTGAAATGTCAGTAAATATATAATTACCCGTTTTACCAGAAATTCAAAAATTCATAAAACCAAATTCCTAAAAAATAAATAAGATTTTAAATACTTTATAAAGCTCTTTAAATTTATTTTATTTTTTTATGAATAGGGCCACTAGACATTTTAAAAGCGAGACCGTATGATCGAAGCTAATTATTTTCCGGTGTTGCCAATTTTCTCTGAGATTATTCTTGAAATTCCTCACTATGGTAAACATATAGTGAATCTTTGCTTAGGGTTAAGAAGCAAAACTTTAGCTGAAAATATTTAAACAACAGGGGTCACGTGTCTACAAGACCCCGCAAAAGAACTGCTATGTTGCCAATTTTCACTTTTCAACAAACATACTTTACTTTACCATTCTTCACTCAGTTTGAGCTCCTCAGCTCTTTTCTCCCAACCCGCGCTTACCTGATCAACCTCAATAAAGCCTTGCGCATGTGGCGAACGAGCTGTTCTCCATTTGGCTACTGCGACACCAACAAATATGGCCGCTAACAATGCAACACCGGCGAACGACAAAGTGAAGTAGACATTGCGTCCCTCCTTGTTCGCGTGCGTATGGGCGAATTCGCGACGCAGCGAGAAGCTCTGTAAAAGAAATTAAAAGAGCTTAAGCAATCATATCCAACTGTCTAAATGAACGGAAGCTTACCGATTCGCGATGGCCCAAATCGTGCGACATGAAATGTTGCACCTGTGGCTCAGCCTCCTGGTGAGCGACAGCAGCAGCTACATCCTCAACAGCGCGCTGTACGGCATCATCGTCGACTGTGGGCAGGACGGTTTGGGTTTTGGTGCTGCAAAAGAGAAGGAAGAATTATTTAGAAGTTAAAGCAAATTCCCTACATATCTAGTTGACACACGCACCTGACAGTGACATCGGCGTACTCTTCACCGCCATTACTATCCTTTTCGCTCTGTGACAATTTGGTGGTATCCACCAGTTGGCCCATTTCTTTGCTGCTCACCTTTGAATCACCCAATGCGCCGGAGCCAGAGGAGGAGCCGCCTGTGGTGGACGAACCAGTAGAGCCAGCGCCACTGGCGCCACCATCTTGGTCGGCTTGCGACTTAAGCAGCTCATCCACCTTCTTGGCCTCCATGCGTAACTTCTCTTCGCGCAATTTCTCACGCTCGGCGGCGCGCTGTTCCTTACGTTGCTTCTCGGCTAAGCGCAAGCGCTCCTTTTCCGCTACCTTGCGCTCAATTTCAACGCGATACTTATCCAAAATGGCCGCCTCAGCTTCCTCACTCATGCCCAACGATGAGCCGGGTATGTCGTCCTTGCTGCGGAGTGCCAAAATATAGTCATTCATCAACTGTGAAATCTTGGCAGACAATTCTGGGTAGCGTTTCAGCATGGTCATGGACTGATTGACAGCGCGGTCGATATCGATGAGTCTCTCCAAAGTGCGTGGTCGCTCCGAGGCTGCAGCTTCCAAGCCACCTGGACCGCCGGAGTTCAAGAGGTGACGATAGTGCGCCAAAGCGTGTGCGCGATCCTTATGCAAGGCGCGTAGCAGCTTCTGCAAACACTTCTCGACATGATGAGCCTACAAGAGGGGGAATACGAAGAAAGAGAGAAGGAGGGAAGGGGAGAAGAAAGAGACGGCATATCAGCGACTGCCACAAACACAAAGTCACTTCGGCGCCTTGGCGGACAACTCACATTTGGTGGCTGCTCGGTGAGCGCCTGTGTGTAGCAGGTCATCGCCTCACGTTTGCGCTGATTAATGTGGGCCAGTACGCGCTGCTGATGCATGGCGGCCAGCTGGTGCTTCTCGGCGTTGCCTTCTTCCTCGAGTGCCTGAACAGAAGTCTAAAATTACATTCCCATATAAAGACGTATAGCACATCAAGAGAGAAAGAATCAATCAGAGAGTAGAATGAACGAATTGCAATTTGGTTTTTGAGGGGAATTGGTTGATTGGCTGGTAGATTTTCGAATTTTGCATTTTGAATCTTTGATTTTGACAAAAAAAAAAAAA